ATTGAAGGGTGATAAGATGTTATATTGGCAGAATATACTGTTGAGCCGATTGGTGAGGAGTTTAGTATAAAGTTTTCAGATGTGTTTAATTAGACTGATAGGTCTTGTATTAGATAAATCCCCATCAAAGATGGGTTTTTTGGCAATAGGAAAGATTCAACCTTCTTTCCATTGTTTAGGTATAGATTGAAGTGTAAGGTAGTGTGACGACAAATATTGTGATGCCGAATATCGTGACCAATCAAATGAAAAATGCACGAAATGCAATAAATGTAATAAGTGTAATAAGTTATATTTAAGATCAGAAAAGGTATTTCAGATTCAAAGAGGTAGATAAGGAATAAAAGAAGGAAATAACAGATATTAAATAAATACGTGTAAATAGTTTTAATTAGTTTTAATAGATAAGTCGCATTTGTAAGCGAGACTTTAGTATTATAAATAAAGGCCGAATTGGCTCTTAAGAGCAAGAGTGCTCTGTTTGCAGTATTAAATAATAAGTCACAAATACCTTATATCGCCCATAATAAACACTAACACTAATACCGATATAACTCTTGTAAACCTCTATAACATAGTTGTTCGTGCAAGTTCTTGAGTACGAGACTTAACCGACCTAATCCAAGTAGCTGAAGCCTTAATCATCAACCAGCCAAATCTAACACGCCTCTTTCGTAAGGTTACTTACCATCAGTTACATGAGTTTTTGGATAGTGGAGCGATCGAGTTGCAGTTATCCTGCCCATAACGTTTTGGTGGTGACTGTGAGATCGTACAATATCCCTTCAATGAATCTTGAAGAGATTGGTTCAAGCAGCTAGGCTGCAAAATTGAAAGACCCAAACCCCAAGAAAAAGGGAAGAGACTCCGGCCTGATTCGACGTACTGTAATTCTGGCTGTAGAAGAAAAGAAGAATTAGCATAGTTCTGGTTAGTACTGACAAAGTGTGGAAAGCCAAAGCTAAAGGAAAAAGAGAAAACTTACCCAAGAAGAAGAGTGCCAACCCCGATTCGACGTATAGTAATCCTGGGTTGAGGCAGCAAGGAAGACAAGAGTTAGTGAGAATAGGTTTAAGGAAAGACTCAAGGAAGAGGTCAGTACTTACCTATGATAAAGAGCTCTTGGAATTCTAAAAAAATGTATGAACCAACCACCGCCAATTGGAATTATCAGCAAAACGGGACCCAAACGAAAGTACCTAGACGACAGCAAGCCCCAAGAAACGAACTGATTCAAAGATGCCGTCGAAGAAAAGTCATGTGCACCTATTGCAAAAAAAAGAAACACGATATTAGTAGTTGCCCAAAGATAAGAAAGTTGCAGCTGAAATGTCTGGAGTTAATAGACGAACTTACCAAAAATCAAATGGCGAAAGTCTTGGAAATGATGGATAAACCCATGAAAAACCGTAGCTTTTATGACCCGCAAGACCTGGAATGCTTTTTAGAAATATTAAAAGATGTTAGCTGGGATAACAACCCTGATGACGATGACGAAGAAGATAATATTATGTACCTACCCTCGTATATCCAACCGGCCCCACCTGTAGGAAAAGAAGATATGTCACTTGTGCCTCCAGAAGTCCCAAGTCAGAAAGTTCCCTCAAAACAATCCTGTTATCAGGAAGACCTGATTGAAGAAGTAATCGATCTCTATTTCGCTCTGGAAGCAAAGGATAGTAACCCCAATGCCGAAGTCCCCTTAGAAAGCTTGATCGATGGTTATTTGGAAGCACTTCAGCTTGAAGAACTAGAATCCGTCAACCGTGGGTGCCGTTATCGAAATGGAACTGGTATTAAAAAGAAAGAAAATAATAAACTGGAAGTTAAAAAGGCCGAACGAATTGGAACAAAAAAAAAAAACGAACAAAAGGCGTTTGAATATTTTCAAAAAGCCGCCGATATGGAAAATGTTGAAGGAACCTTTAACGTTGGCTATCATTGCGAAAATGGAATTGGAGTTGAAAAAGATGAACATAGGACCTTGGGATATTCCCAGAAACCTGCTAATATAGGTGATGCTGAAGGGATACACATTATTGGTTATAGTTATCAAAATGGGATTGGAGTTCAAAAGGATGAACATAAAGCCTTCGTTTATTATCAAAAATCTGCGGATATAAGACCTACAAAAAAAACGTGTAATGTCGGCTATTGTTATGAAAGAGGAATTGGTGTTGAAGAAGACGAACAACCGACCTTGGAATGGTGCTCGAAATCAGCTGAAGATGGTCGACGATTCGTGTTGGAAAACTTGGATCAAGCCTGTGAAGATTGGAACAGAAGGGTGAATAAGTTTAAAAGGTCGATCCAAGACGACACAAAAATGACGAAAGACAACCGTTACGAGAATGGAGCATGTTTAGAACAAGCGGAAGATGGTAATACGACTGGACAATTCGACCCTGTTAGAGAAATTTCAGGTGAAAAAGAGGATGAATTGAAACAAGTTGAGTTCGTACTACCTCAAGTCTTGCTGCGTGGTGCTGATCCTGGTCGAGTTGTAGAACGGTCCATGGACAAAGATGAAGAACATAAAAAGGACCCTGAAACATATACTTCGTGGGAGGTCATGAGTCGGAAACCTTGCCTTAGTAAAAATAAGGAGAAAATAAAGTGGGATAAAAGCCAACCTGCCAAGAAGAATCGAGTGAAAAGATCCACCCTATACTTACCACAATGGAATGAAACCTTGGTATATGACCCTGGAGGAGGACGCCGTAACTGACCTCTTGTCTTTGTTTTTGGTTGCATATGACAGTTGTTTGCATAAGATGGGGTGGACATTTGTCTTGAAAGTCTGATCTGGATGAGACCGTAGATGACGTCACAAACCTATTCCCGACCGGCGTCAAATCAGTATCCCTGCCCTCTTTCGATGACCCACGATTACATGTAAGAAGGTCAAGCGTGGTACGCATGACCTAAGCAGGAGGGAAATGTGAGTCCCAGAATGTAACACGGGGACCCGGTAATTGGTCACGTGAAAAATGCACGAAGTGCAATAAATGTAATAA